GACGAAAGAAGTCATAGTACTAGGGCAGAATATGTATTACCGACGTGCAGAAGGGCCGAGGAGCTACCAGCACGACCTCTGAGTCATACAGCTGGACGGAAGTACAATGACCGTGACCTTCAGTAAACACCTAACCGAAGCGAAAAGTCCAATAGACAGTCAACGTGTTGCATAGCCCCTCTCTCCTGTTGAACGTGGCCCCCCACACTCCTCTTGGTCAGCCTCCTGTGTTGGTAATCACAACGTAGTCGGTGCTGGAAATAACCACCAACCAATCAACCGCGGCAGTGGTCAAATTTGCATAAACTAAGACATTTAACTGCAAAGTCATCGATCCCTCTTACCAATTTCACTGGATCTGGAGTTCCACCCTGTTTGGGATTTGTGTTTGGGGGAGGGGCGAATGTATAGGCCATCGCGCACTGGCCTAAAACCAGTCGTTTAATAAAAGACAACATTTAAAATATTTTCATGGAAATAAGGTCTTGCGTGCGTTCCTCCCGGCCACTTTGTTCTCACTGGTTCTACCCACCCACACCTACCGGGGTCTCTCCAGCTGCTGGAGAGGCGGAGGAGGTATCGCGTGTCCACTTAGATGACGTCTTCACGCGAGCAACGTAGACAGCTTCGTGACGAACTTTCCCAGATGGTTCGTGGCTAGTTTCACTTCACCGTTAGTAGCATTACAGCAGAATATTTTAAGATTTCCATTGTGGATCACCGCAAATTCTTCCACCTGCAGCATTTGCCCTTCTTCCGTCACGTTGGGTTTGATTATTTAGTGATGGAAATCAGGGAAGTTGTCCTTTATGATCGAGTTCGCTTTTCGCTGCCACTAATGTAGCACGTCAATACCTCACTGAAGACGCAAGGAGACATAATACTATGGCAGAAGGGGCTACCAACATGGCCAAGAGGCCGTGCCACCGAGCATAAATATTACAGTTAATAGGCTTCAAACTTGGGCAACTGAACTTCGCGTCAACCGAACCTGCGAGGAGTCCGGAGGCCACTGTTGCTGCGCTTCTTATGACTGCAGACTGCCCCAAAGTGAAATAATCTTTTTTTCCTTTATATTCTCAGCAAAAGAATTGCTTTCCTCACGTGATGCTGCGACGTTGATGGCCGATGACAAAACACTTTCATTGTAGCAATTTTGTGATCCTATCCTTTTTGGCAGCTTTCTCGCCCTTTAAAATTTGTCTTTCTTTAAAAAAACTTTTGAAGTTTTTTCTTCACTCTCTCAATCCTTTTTTCCTAAAATCATCGCAAAATGATACATAGGTGGTTGATTGAGATTTTCAATTTACGTAGCAAAGCTTGTCGATTTTTTGCGCTCTTCCTCTCTTGTCATGATGCTGAGCTTGGGCAAATTTCATGAATTTCATGCTTTATTGTGTCAGGAATTGTAGTTTTTGGGAATAGCTCAAATTCTCTTTGCAAAACCAGTTAGCAAAGTTGTTTCTCTTTTCACAAATATATGCTGTCATAGCGGCGTGTCGAAATAACTCCGAAATAAAGGCGAGTCTAGCTAAGCGAGAAATAAATAATGTCATTTCTTGGCTTAAAATGAGCAAAGAAAGTAGTAGCCATAACATACCTAATTTTCATTTTCTGGTTACTAAATTGGGGCCAAAAAGGCATATCTAATAAAGTTTATAAATTAGGGACGGTGTTACAGGACCCATCGCCCAATCAATTGTCAAGCACTCCCTAAATTACACTTTGATGAAAGTACCCAAGAGATGAACTTGAACCTCCTCTTGCCTTATGTGTTAGAAGTTTTTGAAGAGTTGTTATCCCTGGGAGTTATAATGAGACTCGGTGCTAGGATTACTTCTAACCCCTCTACATTTTGCTGGACTTTGTTCTGATTTGAGGCCTGGTGACTGAGGTTTCTGCCTTATGATCAGCAGTTTTTCAATGCTCAATGAATCATTCGAAACGAACTTGAGTCATGTTGCAACGTTTCAACAACGGTTGCAGATGAGCATTGAAATTGTAAAAGATGGTTCGGTTACATGAATTCATAGTTTATTTGAGAGCAAGGCCACGTCATGTGGGAATTATAACCATAATGATTGTGTTTAGTGATTATTAATAACTGCCTCATAGTTACTTTTTACTATCCCTTTAGGATGAATTGATTGGTGCCCATGAGCCACCAAGTTGCTGGAAGCCGCACTACATGTCGTTTCGTGGATGGGAGCTGCGAATTCCCCTTCGTGTGCTCAATCCCTCTGGTCAATTGCTCATCTCCTCGACCCTCCCACTGACTGCACGCTGTCATACAACCTCCTTCAGTCTCTGTCTGAGCGATGCTACTGTCGATTACCTTAGAAACCCCATCCTCGTTGTCCACTCTAATGCCACTCTGGCCTCAGTGCGTAAACTCGTCGCACTCATCATCCCTGTATGTCTCTATGCCCTCGCTAACACCACTACACAATTCGCCTTCGGGTCTGAGATCCTCTCCCTCGACTCAATCAAACCTCCCGGCGTCAGCGGTCTGCACGAACTGACTAATCGTAATCGACAAGCACCTTTATCCGATCCTAAGAGTGAAACACCCCTTGGGCACAAACTGGACCGCGAGGCAATTGGAGAGCTGGGCTTTCAAACAGGACGGACACTGGTGATTAGATTACGGTCGCACTCAGAACTGCAAGGATTGGGAAGCGATATAAATGGTGCCAGCTCTTTCAGCATTGCTGACGGCACGCACAGCTCCATTCTTCGACGCTCCTCAGGGCTATCAATTAAATCGAGCGGCAGTGGGAAGTTGCATCTGCCTGCATTACCCAACGTGGCCTCTTCAGTGTCCACTTCATCGTTTCTGCCAAAAGTGGCATCGTTTCTCCATTCAGAGAAGCTGATTCCGCCAATGACGTCGGCTACTGCCAATGCTGGTGATCTCGGATGTCTGCAGTCACCGTTCACACTGCCTAGTCTGATGCTCGCCTCAAGCAGATCTGTGTATGAGTCAGTGTTTGAACTGGCAGAGAATGATCTGGTGGAAAATGGAACAACCCAGAGCAAACCAAATTTGCTTCATATGATCAGGCTCCTACTCTACTGCCTCCCCACATACCATCCCCCCAACAGATTACACGTATCGGAGAGATCAGGTAAAGGAGCCTCCAAGTCGGTCTCGAATGCATTTGCCGCGTCGATGGTGTGCACTCCGGAAAATTTGGTTAAGGCACCACAATTTCGCTTACTCTATCTTCTTCAGGTCCGTAATTTCCGCACTCTCTAGTTATTTTTTTTTGCTTTTCGCCTAGAAAGGGCAATAAATCTATTCATTTCTACGATAAACTGACTTTATTTTAACCCCTTTCCTTTCAGTAAGTTTATGCTCCCTTATCCTTGTATCTTTTACTTCTTAATTCTATGGTCAGGTCATCTACCTGACAGGTTTTATATAGCATTCACTAAGTCGGAGGAGAAAATCCATTCTCCACTTAATGGTGGTATTTTTAACAAAATTAAGAACTACTTTTGTGCTCGATTTTATGTACGTCATACAGTCATTCGTTGTTCATTCCTTCAATCCCTATAGGGCACATTTCCTCCCATCTCCTATCACGTACACGGAATTAATTTCATTTAAAGGGAGGAATTTTTGGTTCCTTCATTCTATTCAGTTAGAAACTCTCATGAATCACATCCCTCTTCAACCCGCGCCTTTGAATTAAACCTTTGCAAATCTTTTCACTCCCAATAGTTGATGGAAATTGGAATTTAGGAGTCAATTTACATTAGTATACCGTTTTTAGTTTCTCAGCGGCCAACTAGTGGCACCCGAGTCCTCGGCATGGTGGGAGTGTGCGTGGGACCCCTCGTCAGCGATAGTATCGGCTAAGGTGACGGAGCCCCAGCGAGTAATTTTGCCCTTAGAGGCGCTGCCCGCACACCGCCTAACGCCATCGGAGACGGAGGAGGCAACATCGCCCCGCAATACTCGCGCTGTCACTCCCTCCACCACCTCTGCCGCAGTTGCTGCGCCTGCCTCTGTGACCCTCATCTCCTCTGAGACCTGCCTCCACATCCCTTTGACACGTTCGTTGACCGACGCTAGCGTCCCAACATCATGTCCACCCTCTCCTGAGATGATTAAAGGACCAAAAAAACGACGAATTGGTAGTCATTGTAAGACCACCAAATGGATTATTGGTGGTGGAAATGGTGGAGGAAAGGCGAAGGATCGTAATTGTGAGCGTTTCGTATTAGATTTCGCTTGATGGCTTGTCTGACTATTTGGATGATTTTCAGACCAACTGGTCTCAAACGACAGTACTTTAGACTTCGACGTCTTCATAGTTACTGAAAACTAGAGAATTCTTTTAGGTGTTGGATCATTATTTCAAGTGAATATAACGACCCCCTATTGCTAAATTCCAAACAGATTTTCAGGAATATGAGGGGATCATTAAAAGAAATATGGTTGTATTGGGGTTTTTAATTAGACTGTTTCTAATTATGTGAGCACTTAGAACAATTCGGTGGAAAGATCTTACGATTAAATCGATCAAACTAAGCTGTTAAGTGTCAAGGTAGTGTTGACAGGAAAGGAGAAGGCGATCACCAAGCATGGGAAGTCAGAGCTAGTAACTGCACCTCGTAGGTAGAAGTAGAATTTCACGGTCATCTCTAATGAGTAATAATTGATGATGGAGCTGTCTAGAGTAATAACATTTATCCTCTACATATTCCACTGCTGATACTCAAGGAACGGTAATACTCCGTAACCACGGTAACTGCAACATTTTGCGACATTTTTTGTTTCGCTTTGTTAGCAGATATTCAACGTGAAACAAGCCAATAGGCTAGTCTTCCCATTTTTAACAGAAGTCCTTGCATGATTTCGAGACTTCCGTGGCTGCTTCAAATAGATTTTTGTTTTAAAGAGGCTCTATTTATTCTCTTAAAACCCTTTCGAGTGCCTAAAATGGTGACTCAAGAAAATGACTTCCTGCAGAAAGCGGTTTTGAAATTAATTTACTTGAAGAAATAAATGCTGTGTCAGCAGTTCGTTTGATTGCCTCCTCAAGAATTCAATTTGATGTTATTAGCTAAAGGCTTCTAAATCTTTTTCTTTTATTTAAGCCGAGAGCTCAGTATCACTGAGCAAGACGCATGAGAAGAGCGATTGGTTGGAGCCTCTAGTGATAGTGCTTCGAAAGCAATTGATTGAGGGGACAGTGAAACCAGCGGAACCAGGAGGCAATCTAATGGCGGGCATGTTCGTGCGAATCGTGGCACCCAACGAGGCCACTGGTCCCGCCTCTACAGCTGCCGACGCTTCACGCTCCGACGCATGGATCTCCCGCGAGATCAAGCACTGTGCGCTGCAGATCCTCGCCACCCTCCTTAATCCCTCCTCCTTCAGTTCAACAGACGATTGTGGATGTAGTGAGTTCGCGATATAAGTGTCTCTCATTCATAAGATCTTCTGCGATAGGCCGCCATGTTCAGTCGATGCTTCGTAGACTCGGTTATTCAATTTATGTCAGTTTCATTTTGCCACTTGAAGTAGTCCACATAGTATTACAATTGAGAAAAATGTGAAGAGTAGTCAAAACACTCAAAAAAAGCTGACGGCAAGCATCCGCTTTTATTTTGGACAAAGTTCTCCCAATTATTCTTTGTTTTAAAGTACAACAGATGTCACATGTGTGTGTCAAAATTTTTTTTGTCTTGGTTTTGAGTTTGCGATCGCCTGTTGAGCAGTCAGTTTCTTCGTTAGCAAATAACAACGATGCTAGAGATCCAAAAATTGCAGCAAAACGGTACTTTATTGTTTTGATGGTACAAACGGATAAATTATGTACCTGCTTGTTTACCAAAATTTCCAGCCACGATCAAACATCTGAAAGACGCAATCTGACAGAGTGGTAAAGTTACAAAATTTGACTTGATACCATCCAAAGTAGTCGCCTTTGAGTTAATCTGTGGCAAGTGAAAGTCCGTACGAATTGTTTTGCTTCTTCTCCCAACAACGGTAGTTGCGTGCGCGAAAATAAGACGGCATGCAGTTTAAAAGAATAAACGTAACTCAAGAAATCAGTCGGAATTTTTCAGCTGCTAGAAATTTACTGCCACTGATTAGCTGCTCTTCTATAAAAGCAAATTAAAGCCCCATATGAGCGAATCCAACTACTTTTCATGGATATTTTTACTAAAGCACACATTAAAATTCTATTCCATAACGTGTGTTTACTGGTAGGTAATCGGAGGATAGTAAAAAACAGATTAACCGTACTATTTGATTTACAACAATATCACAGCAGTACCTGATTGCTCGATGGGGATTATAAATTTGAAATTATGCAGTTCCTCGCAACTTCCCTGAAGATGAAAGAAGACATATTACTCGGGTAGAATATGTATTATCAGAGTACAGAAGGGCTAGGTGCCTCTGGCGTAGCCATCCGGCAAAGGTACCAACGGTGGAGCCCCTAAATGCCCCGTTACCAGTGATGGGAGCTGGACAAGCAATCAAAGTATTACATAGCCCCCCTCCTCCTCTTTAAATCATCGTCTCCGGTGTTCCCTGTAGTCAGCCTCCCGTGTCAGCTATCATAACATAGTTGTTTCTGTAAGAAAAATGCCCACAAGCCAACCATGTCAGTTACTGAATTTCGATACAACCCAGAAGCTCTCAGAGCCTTACTTCAATTATCCTTCTTGGCAATTCTGCTGGGTCTGGAGTTTCATTTTGTATGGGAACTGCACTGAAGAAGGGGGAATGTGTTGGCCATTGCTCATCCCCATTGCCAGTCGTAAGGACGCTGACTAAAAAGCAGTCATTTAATAAGGGACGGAGTTTAAAACGGTTCTTGGGGAATAAGGTTTCGCATCTCTCAGTGCTAGCTAGCCACATCTATCTGGGTTTCATCCAGCTAGTAGAGAGGTGGGGAGGTGTCCTATGTTCACCCATTTGACAACTTCATACAGATACCGTTAACAATTCCCTAACTAGCTACTCCAGGTAGTTCACTGATGATGTCGCTTCAGTTGCTAATAGCTTTCCTGCGGAACACGAGACTAGGGTGGTTGCCGGAGTTTTTCGTCCTTTACAGACCTGATAGGGGTCGTCACATATTCTCCCACCCGCAACAGGCGTACTTCTTCCGTCACGCTAATGTTTATCGCCCAGTGGTAAAAAATCAGAATATTTGTCCTTTAGGGCGAATTTTGCTTTTCGTCACCACCAACGTAGCAAAATTTAGTTTGTACCTAGCGTAAGTGCTGATTTATCTGTATATTGCTTATCATTACCTCATCCCTTAAGACCATAGTCCCAACGCCTTCTAAAGTCCCATGTCCGAAGTAGAATCACCGTGTATTCAAAATTACGATAATAAGATATTTCACTGCGAGTTATCAAGTTTGGTCAAGTTTTAATTGTGATAATTAATCAAATTAATAAATCCTACACTTATTATTTCAAAGACTTGTCGTTCTCTTGCTTCGTACAGACTCCAGAACCTCGAGTTTCTCCTCAAGCTGTAGTTCCCTCCCCGCACTAATGCAACTGGATTTTGCTCCAAAATTGCTCTCAGTGTTAATGGACACAGCGCTGGCCAGCGCCACGCAGACCTCAGACCAGCAGGCGGAAAACTTCGCTGTCTCTGGCGGCAACAGTGGTGGTGGAGGCGAGGATGTTAGAGAAGCGGTCAATGCCGGTAGGAAACAGCGTCGGTGCGGTCTCCTGCCTGTAGTTGAGAGTCATGCCGGTGTAGCAAATGCCCTCGACCCACTGACTAGCTCCACATCCTTTGCGCTCACATGTCAGGACGTTGAGGTTTGCATTTATTCATTGATTCCAATGAGCTTTTCGTCTGTAGTCGTGAGCTTCGTAAGCCGTTTTGGACCATTAGGCCACCAGAATCGTTTTCAGACCGCTTTTTTTGCGTAGTAATTACACCAGCTTCCTCCCCCATAAATGTGCATTCCATCATGAAGTCGTATTCCTACCGATGTTAGATTCGCTTGTGCGGATGTTTGGCACATTCTGAAGAAGTTCTAACGATGTGTGAACCTTCTGTGGGATATTTATCGGCCCGTATTTTCAAGTTTTGTAATTGAGTGGGATATGCTTGGAATTGGGGTGGTACTTGCAAACCGTCGGCACACTGTTGTCACAAAAGCATGTACTATCCTCGCAAATCCTATTTATATGCATAAATCTGCCCTTTCTGCCTAAACTTTATCACCTATCGCAGGTTCATGGAAATGATCCTCTTATACACCCTAGCTTAATTTTCTTCCGTGGCTGCATCTACAAAAAAATCAGCGGAAAATATTTGTATGTTGTATTTTGATTTCTATTGCCATCTTTAAACTTTTGAATTTGAAAGAATTTTTTTATAAAATCTCTTAGATGAATCACTTTAGTCAGGAACACTTTGGTGTCGGTTAAAACAAAGGTATATCAAAGTACATCTGCCCATAAATGCTGGTACGCTTGCACATTTTTCCCATATCGCTTACCTAACTTCGTAGTTGAAAGTGACAATGACAGGGAAAAATAATGTTTATACCTGACATGCTCACTGGCCACAGAGAGTTGGTTGAAAAGAATTACGAATTTTTACATTATTGTCAGGAAAATGCGCAACTTTTGTACTTGAAAAACGGCAAAGTCTTGCTCTTCTAAGGCGGAGTTGCGACTGTGGCTTTGGATTTGGGAAATCATATTTTCTGATTACAATATTTCCATTAGTAAGTGTTTGGAACCTAAGAAATTGTGTTTGTCTGCTTAGATCGCAGTCCAGAGCACCCGACTGTTGTGCCAATGCGTCTTCACCTACTCGTCTCAACTCATGAGTGCTTTCCTCGAGATGCCAGACCTCAAGAGTTCACTCATTCGTCTCCTACTTTATTCACCCTCTCTCAGGCAATTCCATTTATTCATTCATCTTCGTTGGTTTTTAATTGACTTATTGTAATCTTAAACCTCAAGGAATAGAACTGGCGTTTGATAATCCTTTTCTTTAACTAAAGCCGTTCAAAATAACGAAAGCTCTCTTTATTTTGTGCTCCTTATTTGTGGCTGCAGAATTCATGTATTTGGATCAACCTTATCTTTTCGATATAGATGAAGACTAGCCGAGATTAATAGATGCGTCTAGTACTTGTTTTGAAGAGAGTGAGTTATGACATTTCATTTGAACCAAAACAACCATCGAAGTGTGCAGCCGATGCTGTCAAGCGTTGTTATTTCCTCATAAATGTTTAAATGTAAGCTGGACTTATTGATGTACCAATCACTAAAACTACTCCTCCCTGAGTGTCTCTTCTACTTCCTCTTCATACAGAATTCGTTCCGAGACCTGCCACCAACTGAAACAACTCCTCTACCATTCCGCCGGTCAGCACCACCAATCAATAAGCTCACTTCTTGGCGTGGAGCCCTGTTGTCACCTTTTAGCTTGGGAGACTTCTCATTCCTCTCAGGCACCGCCTTACAGCTTTGAAGCGATCTCCCTCCAGCGTGTCAGTACCAGTCCATACATCGACCTCCTTCTTGATCTTTTCTTCAAGACTCTACGAGACACCACCAAGGGCACCTCCAAAGCCCTTCTCCCACCCTTTTGGATAACCAATCAACTCAACACCTTAACGGACACCGAGGAGAGGCAGGCGATGATGCACTGTGCCGAGTTCTTCAGACTGCGGGGTCGGGTTTTCGCAATGGTGGAGAAGAGTTGTCTGGAGCATTATGCTGGACAGGACCACGCGGCCATCTTTGAGGTGTGTGTATGCGATTTTTTAGCTTCACCTATAAGGAGTTTGAGAAGAGAGAATGGCGGCGGGAAGAATTTAAACTTCTGCAAGCCCATGTATTTCCATTTCTAGCTTTAAAAAATGTGGTTAGCACATTGCATAATGGTAGAAAAGCTGCGCAATTCCAAAATTTTTGACATACCCCTGAATTTTTTATAAAGATGAGTTTCATCTCATTGGTTTAGATGGCATGTGTCAAATCTGGTCTGAATCTTCCGTCAAATTTTTACTTGGAGGTGGAAAATGCATGATCTGAGAAGTACAAATACGTAATTAAATAGCTAGTTCACATTAGCTGGGTTGGCATCCATAGTATCCTAGTAAGTGCCGTAATTGACCACTCTAAATCAAGTCACGCAATCCGACAATATGGTTGGTATTGGGCTCAAGAACGGAGTTGTGCTTGACCTGCATCTTCGCTTGTGCTTCAACGCTTTCAATTAATTCCTCCTGGGGAACGCCCCTCTTGGAAGCTTCCTCTTATCAGATATCCTATTCATCCGTCTTATTTACTTAGTTAGCATTTAAGCATAAAAATAGGTAGTGCTGTTTGTAGTATTCTAGCACCCCGAGTCTTTCCTGAAGTAGAAAGATGCCCTCATACTGGGACAGAAATTGTATCGCCGACGTACACAAGGGCTGGGGGATTACCGACATGGCCCTGAAGTCATGGCTCTAACGGAAACACACGGGTGGAGCCTTGAATGCTCGCGAAACCAATACAAAGAGTCAAACAAATAATCAAAGTATTACAGTATTTTAAAGAGAAATATAAGTTCACTCCATATGATTGCATATGGTTTTTACGTTTTCAACTAGAATGCACCATTTCCAACCCTTTTACTACCAGTGATGATCACTTTTATAAATGAAAAGCGCGAGAAAATGCCCCAAAAAAAAGCTTTGCGCACTTTCTTGCATTCCTTTCACATTTCTCTTTCTTCTTCTAAGTATTTTACATATTTTGGAAGATTACCCCTGGGAACACACCTGAATCTGTTTGCAACAGTAAATTATGATCTCATTAGTTCGTGAAGCCTGGCCGCATTTGGGAATGTATCCGTTTTTGACGCAGCTGAGAAAGGTCCAGAACAA